CATGTCTTTTAGATTGCACTCTCATACTCACGTCTTTTAGATTGTACTCTCATACTCACATGGCCCTTTGGATCACACCCGTTGGGTTGCACTCCCTCGTCGAGGAGGCCGCTCTTCTCCTTTTCTACAGTTACATGCTAATTTCTCACATTAACAACACGCTAATCCCTCACATTAACATAGCCACTTCCGTGCCCTCTAATTTTTCACATCAACATCATGCTAATCCCTCACATTAACATAGCCACTTCCGTGCCCTCTAATCTCTCACATTAACATCATGCTAATCTCTCACATGAACATAGCCACTTCCGTGCCCTCTAATCTCTCACATTAACATCACGCTAATCTCTCACATTAACATAGCCACTTCCGTGCCCTCTAATTTCTTACATTAACATCATGCTAATCTCTCACATGAACATAGCCACTTCCGTGCCCTCTAATTTCTCACATTAACAACACGCTAATCCCTCACATTAACATAGCCACTTCCGTGCCCTCTAATTTCTCACATCAACATCATGCTAATCCCTCACATTAACATAGCCACTTCCGTGCCCTCTAATCTCTCACATTAACATCATGCTAATCTCTCACATGAACATAGCCACTTCCGTGCCCTCTAATTTCTCACATTAACATCACGCTAATCTCTCACATTAACATAGCCACTTCCGTGCCCTCTAATTTCTCACATTAACATCATGCTAATCTCTCACATGAACATAGCCACTTCCGTGCCCTCTAATTTCTCACATTAACGTCATTAGCCCCGGCAACTTCTTTATAACCATTGAGCTACACCCATTTCAAACCTTTTAAAACAGTCTGCCTCAGCAGCAGACCATGCTTTCCCACCTGATGATGGACGCTTGTGTTGCGCCCGAAACGTCGTGATTTATTTAATTTTATACCTACGTGACTTTACCGAAATAAGCAAAGAGTACAGAAGATAAGTGCTGGATACAACTGCATTTGCAAATATGATTTGTAACTTTCAACCTTACCCATGTATCAATAGTTACATTTTAATGTGCAATTTTATTGAGGGACTCTGTGGTGTTCTTTTGGTGTGGTCTGGTACTGTTCTTGCTGTTGTTTTTCTGCCTTGCCCAAGCTTGGGAATTGGTGTACTTATGCAATTTGACCTTATACACTTGATCTATTTTACGTATTTATTTTTAGAGATTTGCTCACTTCTCCTATACTTTGCACTCCTTTCGTTTTTTGCATTGTTTGTTGTAACTTTCTGACCCGCCCCTACTAGACATCTGTGCAAAAGAGATTAAAAGCTCATGGGCTTTATCCAGGATAAATTAATATTCTGATTCTGACTGTAAATTTTTTTTGTGTGAAAAATATTGAAATTATAATACGAAAGAACAGTAAAAGGCCAAACAAATATCGTTTCTATAAAACACATTTTAAATGTTACGCAGTTGTCTCAATTGACAAACTGATTTCACGTTGCTATGGATCATTATGGGTTAAACGAAATATGAGCAGAACTCACTTATTTGTCTCCAAATATCAATAAAAAATATATATGCTTTAGTCCATCAGCCTATTGGCTTTCCATAATATTGTCTGGAAAGCCAATAGGCGTAGGTAACAAATAATTCCACTGCACGAAGGCTGTGAGTGCAGGGCACATCAGCTGAAAGCTGCAGCTGATATATGAGGACACTTTGGTGCTTTCCTTGTTGGTCTGAGTAAGACCATTGCTTCTGTGTTGTCAAGATTTACTGTATATATATTTAGCTGCTGCACTATCAACATTAAAAACCTAGTTTGAATGTTGATATAAATGCACCGAAAATTAGCACGGTTGGCCACGTATGGTGCAAAAGAAGTTCAACATAGATGCAAATGCAGATTATTATTTTGTCAAAATGTCTCAATACCCACTATTTTCTGTCCATTTGGCTTTTTTTTTCTCTCCAAAGCATCATCCGCCAACATTCGTTCAGGCCATGGATCTATTAATCTGAAGTTAAACAAACTACAGACTTAACAAGTAGCCACATCCAACATATAGATATGAATGGTGGATGTGCAAGGCAGGCACAACAGCTGTGCTGTTACATGCATGCAATGCAAAGGTGTGACATAGACTTGCTCCACCTGGTAGTATTAACTGAGTGTTCTGCCCCACGGCAGATATGGGGGGTGTGTTTACACAGGAACTTTCTGATATGCTGGTGTTGAGTTTGGTCATGTGACCAGGAAGTGACGAGTTAAGGGTAAGCCACGAGGCCAGGCGGGGGTGTCAGCCATTACACAGAGTACAAAATGGAGGCACAATTAGCGTCTTCGTGAAGACGGGTGCATCTGTTCATTGTGAGACTTTAAGAAGCATTGTCTGTAAGTTTGTTCATGTTCTTATGATACTGGAAATGCTGTTACGTTGGGATTGCCGTTATAACGCTGTAAAAGCCTGTATAATGCTGTTACATTTTATGGCGAATATGGGGCCTAGTTAACAACGAAGCCTGCCACTTATTGTGAAAGTTATTTGTAGTTGGATAAGACGAGCCAGACTTGTGCCCATGTAACTTGAATGCGATCTTGAGAGCAAGGATGAAAAAGTATCTCATCCACATTTCAGTATTATATGCAGCCCTGTACATTTAGGCCGGAGTATGGTGATTACACAAAGTGACCTTATTTAACACAAGCTTATTCTCTTGTATAGCTATTCAGTGCTAATGTAGGTGCCCGGTCCATCCAGGACCTAATGTTCAGATTCATGTTATCTAAGACAATGTTATGATGCTGCAGTGTTCATTCATGTATTGATATTGCAAGTATTAACATATATGTATTTTGTGTTGTGTTTTCCCACCAGTTTTACCTCGTTTTATTCATTAAATACGTTCACCCTGGCTCTGAAGTGTTATTGAATGTGAGGTTAACTACTCAGATAGTGGTGCAACGCAGCGCACAGCGAGGCCGAGACACTGAGCATTGGAGGTAAACATAATAATAGTAATACGAAAATAAATATCTGAAACGGGAAAACAATCACATTTTAGGGAGCATAAATGTTTATCAGAGTACATTATCACACTCACGACACCTGCATTGAATGTTTGTCAGGATCAGTTGCTATATTTTCTATTCCTTTATCTGAATACCACTGTGTTTTTTTATAATAGCATACCACAAGATCTTACATGTGCCATCAGGTGTAAACATTTGGGAAGATTATTCTGAGCCTCAATTATGACAGTGCAGAATGTATTGGAGAAAATACATTTTCGCGTCCGTAAAATGTAAGTTTAATCACTAACTTGCCCATCTTTGCGGATGCATTCCCCGCATAGCTCTGAGTATGAGGTGCGTTCATGCAATGTGGCGCCATATGGCTGTGGCCGAAGTATAACTCATGATCAGACGCGTGATGACGCTTGTGAAGGGAGATTTGTGGCATCCCATCCTAGAGTCCTGTGTGACTTGATATGTGGTTTTCTTTGAGCCTGTCACACATGTATATGCTCGTCTTCCCTTGGGATGGTAATTCGGTCCTACACAATAGCCAGCTCAATATCGGTGAACATGACTGCGAAATTCCTTGTACCTCCTTTAAAATTGCCAAACTCTTTGAAAGGACACGATATTAACTGTGGCAAAACATGTACCTACTTGAGCTTCTCAATAAAATGTTGATGCGCAATCTTGGTTCCCTTGCTCCATAATAAAAAAAGCACTTGGGTAAATATTTGTCAAGGAGGATATTGCCACACATTCCGTTTGTGCATTAGAGAAACAAAAACTGGTCTACCCACCTCAATTTAGAATTAATCTTTGGAAAGCCTAACTGGGATTAGAGTTGAGAAATATTCTTCATTGGGCCAAAACACGGATGGCGAGGAGTTGATTGCAACAGTTGTATATTGCTTTTTATTGTTTCGCATTATAACATGTCATCTTGTTTATTAACCTTTAATAAAGAACATGACTATTGCGATGTGGAGAAACACATTTGATTTAAAATACGACATGCTTAAAATCTAGAGGACAAAAGGTGTACGAAAATTGTTAAACCAATTTGACTATTATTTTAAAAGCGCCATTTGAGGCTACAGCATTATTGATATGCGATGTGGGCATGTAATGTCAACGCAGCATCCCATTGCAATATCAGAGCAGTGGCTTTTGGCTTGCCACCGAACAAAGACGGTCACCGGCATTGCGCGCTTTTAGATGCACTTCTGCAGCCGTCTGGAACGCCCTTCCTTCCGATATTAGGAAGCGCTCTGGAGCTATGCACTTTGAAATCTAAATTGAAAACTAATTTCTTTAGAACTGATTTTTGTGTTTAGTTTGTTCTTCCCCCGCACCTCGGATTAGCACAGTTGGCTACGTATGGTGCGAAAGAAGTTCAACACATGCACATTATCTTCGAAAATAATGCAGAGGAACATCCACTCCACAGGCGTTATTATGCCCATATCCAAATAGCCAGATAATACACCAACATTGCATCAATATTGACTGATGAGCCAGTGATGTCATTATTTGCTGTGTATGGTTTGCAGCAGCAGCAGCAGCTATATTGCTATATTTATTCACATGAATGTGAATTATAACCAGGAGTCATCGCGTGTGCTTTTATTAGAATGGGCTTTGATGTTGTGCAACCATTGTATGGCTGCACAACAGTTGTATTGTATATATTGCAATATTATTGTATATATCTCATTTTGAAAAGAGGCATTATGTACGTATGCTAAACTTCTTTCGTACCGTACATAGCCAACCGTGCTAATCGTTGGTGCGGGGTAAGGACAACAAACAACATAAAAATACGTTTTAAAGAAATGAGTTTTCAATTTAGATTTAAAAGTGCATATAGCTCCAGTGGCGTATTTTTCTTATATATATAAAAAAATAACCTACGGGTTTCTTTACCGACTCTAAATACTGTGCACAGATATCATGAAATATAAGTGAAATGATTCACAATACATCAATAACGTCGTTTGTTCCCTCACCTCTTTGTCGTTTTTCTCCACCCTGACTTGCATGTCGTATCTTTCTTCATCCACCTTGTCGATGGTTTTGTGCAATTCCCTGCAGAGATCCTGTGCAGCGCAATTGCCGGCACAAATTTAAGCGCATTAGGGCACATTTCGCGTCATACGCGTTTCATTGTGAGAGCCAGCATTTCAAAAAATTCTATTTATTTTTCTCCGCTTATTCTTTTTTGGTCCATACATGTTTTTGTTCCTTACATTTTTGGCCAGTCCGCCGTATTTTTTTTTCTCCATTGAACAGCACACCAACCAATTTATGACTGACTTTAACATCTTTTAACATTAAAATACTCCACTGTACCGTTTTGTGGTATGTTCATATCCATATTGAACTTCTTTCGCACCGTACATAGCCAACCAAAAAACACACAAAGTGTTGGTTAGGGCTTCCTTGGGCGGATGCTCTAGTTGATATTTTTCAAGTAGAATCCATGGTGTCACAATTTGTTATATTAACAGTCCAGTCCCTTATTTAATCGGTTTTGTCTACATTTACAACCAGGGAAATGGCTTGAACAACATAGCCAAATGTCAGTGCAGTCTAAATAAAAAAAATAAACTTTGTGTTCAAGAGAAGTTGGATTTGTGCTTATGATAGTGTAAAGGTGTTCCAGCACGGGTGAGTCTTGAAATTGTGTCTTTAGCACGGCGCGTAACACATCAGGGAATGACTCCGTTCAGACCCCGAACCCCTTCTCTACGCTCCTATTATGCTCTTCCAAATCCTTTGACGAATTAACTACCTCGACTGGTATACAGGAGGCCGTGGGTTCGATCCCAACTCTGACACGTCTGTATATTTAGAGTGTGCATGTTCTCCCCATGGTAGCGTGAATTTTTCTACGGGTCCGGATTTTCCCTCCACATTTAGAAACATGCGTTAAGAATGTTTGGCTGCTATTAATTTCCACGTGATAAGCCACTTCGTAGAGCTAACATGTTTTGCCAGATCCCTTCTGAAAAAGAGCTAAATAGCTCAGTGGCCCTTACCAGGTGACATAAAAAAAAGTTTAGTTAATTGTTTTTTTCCCTGGAACTTTCCAGACTCTCAACTAATCCCTCCTCCTAACGGTCTCCCAACTCAACCATCATTTGTAGCCTCTTTCAAATGACTGTACTCTGACTGCCAATCTGATTTGAATGGTTCTCCAACCTTCAATTAGATTGTGTCCTGCCCCTCTGATAGCTCTTCGCCAATGAGAGTCGAGTGCGCTATGTGAACTCAAAAAGCCATTAGACCTGGTGAGTATATATTATTTATCGAGTTCGCCTCTTGGCGTCCCGTACAATAGTGATGCAACATGGCACAACATCGGAATATTCTCTGTCTATTGATATGTGCCATAGTTGATACCACACACGGATCAATTTCAATTGCTACTGAGAGGCCGACCATGTTACTTGAACGAGATTTAGCTGCTCACACACCACACCACTATGCACACTGCCAAAATGAGTATACATTATACCATCTGATTGAAACGTGTTTTGTGAAATCAACATTTTGAAAATGCAGTAGGTGGCTTTTGGGCTTTTAAAATTATTAGGTATGCAAGAGATCAACATACTGTACCTACCATGGTACGTGTGCAAACGGACAGTCAGGAATCGTGTCAATGCGTCAGATTGGTGCAGGGAGGCTTCAAAGAGGATTGGCTAAGCACGAGAATTGAAGAAATTATTGTGAGAGAAATTCAAACGTAAAAGGCGGGAAACGAGGGTTGACTGTCAGAGGAAAGGTTGACAACCACTGCAGAAGGAGGACGGGGATTGGCTGAGAGGAATGGGGTGAGCGAACCTTCTAGAAAGGGGGCTCGAGTGATATTAAAGGGGATAGCACAAGGGGAAGGGATGGTTGGAGAGAAGACGAAGTTGGAACCTGAAGAACTGAAGTCCGGGCCTAGGAAGAGTGTTGGTGTCCACAATAATAAAGCAGGAACGTGTGTTGGCGTCACCACCTACGTTGCACCTACATGCATATTAATTATTAAGGAACTGCATCGATAGCGGTTTCCAAGCTTAATACTGTATTTACAATTATATCAAATCGTAACGCACACAGTATTCACTCACACTCAAAGAGATGGGCACCCCAGTGGCGAGATATTATCATGACCTCGCCTGGTATGCACGATTTCGTGGGTTCGATCCTGACCATGACGTCTGTATATTTGGAGTTTGCAGTTCTCCCCGTGGTCGCGTTGATTTTTCTCCGGGTCATTCGGTGTTACCCTCCACATTTGGAACCAACATGCGTTTAGAGTATTTGACTGCTCTCCATTTCTACATGACAAGCCACTTCGTTGAGCTATCATTTGTGGCCAGGTCGCTTCAGCGGACCTTGCCTCTTAAAATTAATAATACTTTAATAGTTTGAAGCAGTTTAAATGGAATGACTAGTAGGCACGTGGGACCACAGACAAGTGGGAAGGCAGCTAGGTGATTAGCTGACGTCACCACTTGCTCAAATTCTGTGCTCAATATATTAAGACGTTTTCAGCCAGAAATCGGTGCACTCAGAGATAACTCACGTGTGCGAGCGGGAAACACTCTATCCCACACAGACGGAACAGGTGGAGCCCACATTGTTACTGACAAGCCAGGGTATGGCTCATTCCTCGACGGCCACGGGAATGAAGTTTTCACAACAAACGTGTAATCCACCAACCCTCGCCTCCACCGTGCCCGGCTTGTTCTAAGGCATCGTCAATAGCAAAAGTAGTGATTTTGTGTGTGCTTGAGTAGCCGGTGCGAGCTCGCCTGTGATAAACCACACGTATAATTGTGCACTGCTAGTTTGCTACGGGTAGCCAGGTTGCATTTTGTATGATTATTTACGTGAATGCAATGGTGATCAAGGATTAGCAGACACGGCTCGAATTTAAATTTGGGTGGACATGGTGCCTGAGTAATTGATCTGTGGTGTTGAGATGTGGAGGGTGTTTCTGATCGATTTTGCAGATACGCAAATTGCTCCTTCTGAAGTGGACTTTTGAAATTAAGTTTTGCTGTTTCACAACCCACCTCCCCCCCACCCTGGTGCTCAGCTGTTGTGGAGTCGGCCCACTTCTCTGGAGAACAAAACACAACGCAGAGTCACTCCGAACTTAAATATTTGTTATTATTTGTGTTATTGTTGTCTATTTAACCAACCTCTGCCCCCCCCGTCTCGCAAGGATTCACGATGGGAGGACCAGCTATCCTTGTTACCACTCTCAATGCAGTCGCTTCAAAATTTTTATTTGAATCTCCAACACAAGAACCGTGTACATTTATTCTGAAGAAGACCTTTCTGCCAAGGCGCCCCAAAGTTTTTGAGAAATTAATTGAGAACGAGTTGTGCACTTTATTTTCTCTTTTCCAATCAAATATGTTTCGTTCCAACTCTGAAAATGTGACGTCAACTAAATCTATATTTCCGTAATGAAGCAATATGAGCTACCTACAAGCATGCATTGACACGCAACCTGTGGATTAATCCTCATCTGACAACGAATCTAGTGCTGTAGTTGCCTCTACAGTAACATACTTATCTAGACAATTGGGGGAGAAGAGCATGAGAGGAAGAGATAGTAAGAGCAGTCGTAAATTTCGATTTAAAGCTTTCGTGACTGCAGGGATTCATCTTCTTAGTTCTTTCGGTAAAGTCACCACGTAGAATGGAAACAAAGTAATACAAATAAAACAATAAAATAAAATTATCACGACGTTTCGGCCACAACACAAGTAGCCTTCTGTTGTCCCGACAGTTCTGTTGCTTCACCTGAAGAAGGCTACTTGTGTTGTGGCCGAAACGTCGTGAGAATTTTATTTTATTATGTTTTATTTTTATTGTTTCCATTCTACGTGGTGACTTTACCGAAAGAACCAAGAAGAGGAGTCGTAAACATAAAACGTGAAACTGCATTACGCGTTGGCTTGACGCTTACCTGAACAAGATACAAACCCAGTGGAGTGGGTGGGGGGGTTAGCGGTAAGAAATCAATTGCTCTCATGTAAAAGAGCTTAAATTGCCAATAACGAGGCTGGTGGAGTGTCGAGGCCACTATAACCCGAACACTACAAACTCATCGGTAATTGCCAATTAACACCATTGGCTGGATTAATGTAGCCATTTTGTCTGTAAATATGCCTCTTTTTTGGTGGAAGGATGCCAGTTCTGTTTTGTACAAATGCGTGTATGTTACCTCAATTTGCGATTCATGCGTGGCCATTTATGCACGCAAATACACCGCCGTCGCTTCTCGTGCAAAAATATAGCGGTGGGACGGCCCAATTCAACAATGGCATGGCCATAATGACTTCTTGACCTTAAGTGCTAAACACTGTAATTAAACTGCACTTTTGAATGAAAATGTATTTAACAAAAAAAACTGCACTGGCAGTATAATAACCGCAAGCGTGCCTTGTGTGTTTTATTTTCTCTCACGAAGGTGGTGTATTAAACAAGCATAATGATGATACTATATGTGATATTAATTCGCTGTATAATCAGGATAAATTAATCAATCCAATATCTTTAACACGCCATATTCAGAAAACATGTGAGACGTGAGCGTAGATAGCACTGAGCAGATTTAATGAAATTTCACGAAAGAGAATGCTTTTTTTTCCCGTCCGGTCTTAAAAGCGCCGATTATCACGGCTGTCCGGAACTTCATTTGGCAAGAAACAGCATGAGATGGATGTAAATGTCTGCGTTGTGAGACAGCAGGAGAGGAACTTGGGACCAATACATATTTACACACCCACACACAATACATACATCATACACGAATGAGAGTTCAAACGAAATTAACCATGGACAAGGCCACACAACACGAACACTTCTCTGGATGACGACTCAAGAATGACAATGCTGACCCAAGCAAGAACCCCGGTGTTTAAAGCTCAATCTCTAGCCCGTGGACACTGCGGCCGCTGCCGCGAGAGCTTGCTCGCTCTCCTGCTGTTTTTTGCACGATGTTCAACGGAGGACTCCCTCCCGTCTGCTCCTTATATTACTGTGACGGGGGGGGGGAGCGGGCCTATTCGGAGTGGCGTAATTGAAGGTCGGATAAACTACGGTGTTAACGCCAAAATAAATCGGTATTACCGGGTAACGCACACGAAACGTGGCGCCCATCACCACGTCTGTGCAAATTGTCACCGTGATTCAACGCTTGCATGAGCCAGAGCAGGAGCTGTACAGCTACGCCTCACGTTTGTGGGATAGTAGGGCACGACGGTTTATATCCTCGCGTTCGCGGTCCTCGCAATTCCCGGTCTCTGGCTTAATAATCATCGATTCTCCTGTTTACTGGCACGAGTGCTTTGGTGGATAATGACCTCTATTCTAAAGCCAGAATGCTTGACTCCTATGTGGACGTAATTTTTTTTAAAGGCAAAAAAATCCACCATTAGCCTGTTAATATCTCAGTTATAGATTTTGTATCATGATTACTAATATTTCCAACTATACAAGAGTGTATTTGTAGAAATGGCCAGTTTCGTAGCAGAGCAATTGATTCTTGACAATTGGACACATTGTGAAATGCTTTTACAAGGTCAGATTATTCATTGATTTTTTGTGTTTTTTTTGGGGGGGAGGGGGTAGTTGAATCATACCGTGAAAACTGAGTATACCAAGCCTTGCTGATTGTGAGGCAACACAAGGTCTGAAATCATGAGGGACTGAGCAACTGATGTTCTCGTGTACAGCACAAACAGCACACAGCACCGTGGCTTCCAGCTCCCAAGGGTCAGAGGAATCTCCGACAGAGATGCCTCGCACTCTTTCTTGCCATTTGGCATGCTGGGCTTTTGGGCCTGTGTTTGTCTTTAATGGACGAGGAACGTCCATTAACGACTGAGCTGATTTGTAATTAACAATGTTGGAGATGAAGAGCGCCCCATGTAGATCTCTACGTAACTCCACACCTCATACTCTTAAGCCCCGCAGTAATTCAATTAGCCATTGAAACTAAAGTTGAATGTTCCAAAAAACATGTGTTGCTCTGGCCACTGCAAGAATATTAAAACAATGCTAATCAGCCTAGCTCTACTATGTGAGGTGTGGATTAAACGTGTGCTATTTATAATCATCACCACAGTAGCATATTTTCTAAATTATCACTTTCGTTGCTGTGAGTTTGAATGCTATTTAAAGCAAGAGCGACAGTAGTGTTGTACAACACTCCACCGTCCAGTTATTGCAACGATGCTCTGACTTGTTATTTGAATAACCCACGCAGCATGGTAACGCATTCCCAATTATCACTGTTGTAATTAGGGGGGAGACTAATGGGATGGCTTATTTAAAGCGGCGATGATTATGGCTGTGACGCAGCAGCAGAGGTGACCAGCACCACCCCCTGGTGCACCAAGGCCACAAGGACAGATAGTGGAAAGCGCACCTTGGCTGAAATGCAGTTTGATAGTTCACACTTACACTCACACACACGCTCACGAAAGACAAATATCCCTCGTGTAGCCTTAACAGACTGTTAGCGAGCATCACCTACGAAGGCCGGCACAGCACACGAGGAGGTGGGTGGTCAACACCACGCCCGGCCGCCTTTGTCTCCCCAGTGAGGATGTTTACACATCACAGCAGGTACTCATTTTGAGTCTTGAGTGGTTGACATACACTCACATACTCAGTCGTTTGCAACGACAAGGCAGGAGCAATGAATGCATTCAATTATTATCAGTTGTGGCTCATTGATGCACATTACAATACTCTATGTGTGTACATTACCGCCTGTATACTTGTGAACGACGGCAGGACACACTTAATGCATTTCAGTGACGTCTGCGCGATTGTGTGAACAGCCGCGCTGCCTGAAGGTGTTCACGCTTCGCCAACTTGATGTGGGGCGTTTTGCTTTGCGTATAACCGGGCGAGAGAGCATTGCGACGTCTCGCAAAGACCTGCAGCCTAACTTGTTTTTTTGTTGTTGCTGTTAATAATTTTTTAAAAAAATAGTGTTATCGACGTTTCGGGATTAGGGTCTCGTTTCATTTATTGCGGCAGACAACAGCGGGTGACAAGGGGTCACTCGGCAGTGGAGGCCGGGTGTAATTCCGCAATGGTCTTGTATTTACTGCGTTGAGCGAAGGTCGCGGGCAAACCATTACACTCGGGATTTTGCTGAGCGCGACGTTTTCATACGGCCACACATTCCGTGGAAGAAGTGCGCTTATTTTTGTTTTTCCCCCCCCCCCCCCCCCATAAACTATTCCCGTACGCGATGACTGGTCAAGACGTAGGATGTTTGCGAAGCGACAAGACGGACGCTAAGGTCGATGCCGTCATTTTTAGTGTTGCACAAAATAAGCTCGACACGAACGTTACCTTGTTGTCAGTAATTGATCATGGACCAGGCTTTTTTTTTTGGCAGAAAATATAATGAAGATTTTTATTTTTTAATCAACCCACCAGCGACAGGTCGTACTCTTCTTATACCTTTGCAAAAACAACAACAAAAACGACTCGTTTGTGTACGACGAATTCCAAATGGACACTCCGCAGTACCTGCAACTCCTGGCTGGAGAGATGGGAGAGTTCCAGGCGTATCACATTGTCAGCCATGTAAGCGGATTTTTGTTCCTCCCGATCATTTTTCTCTTGTTCCAGTCTCTCTTTGGCCACAAGCAGCATCAAGCCCTACACACACACACACAGCCAGGTGATCATTGCCAATGAGGCATAATGATCGTATTAAGTGCCAATTTAACACAGGGAAGTGGAATAAATAATAATGAGATGCAAATGTCTTACCTCACGCTCCCTCAAGAGAAATGCATGAAGTTTATTCTCATTATTTACACTTTCGCTTTTATAAGGGCTGTTAATAATGGTAATGGCTTTCGCGAGAATCAACATCCATATCTCGGTTTCCCCATCAATTGATGTCGAAGCCCATCTGCTTGAATGAGCTGATGCATCTTAATGGCTGACGGCGAACCCTTTATTATACCCAGTCACGCGTATTACCATATTATTTCCCAGTTTTTTCAGGCAATAATAGCAAAAATCGTTTCACTGTTCAAACAAGCGTAAAGCTATGCTTACAATCCTGAGTCAGTGATTGTAAATAATAAAGTACGTTTTTTTTATGGCGCATTTCATCCATAGGCCACAATGCTTCCACATTAGGATATATCCACTTGCACGTGGAAGGTGCCGCCAGTCACTCCAAAAGGATGGCTGCTGATCTTTCACAAATGTATAATGACCCCAAGTGTACGGTGGACGAAGTCGACAGCTTACTGAGATTTGAACCCGCAAATCTTCTCATTTTGAGTTGGACGCTGTACAATTAATGCTATCTCTATTTCACGGATTGAGGAAATTCTGTTACCACTAAACCGCCGCTCAGGAAAAGTGATTTACACCTTTCTCGTTGCCTACAGCTAACGCGAGACGCGTGCACGCCAAGATATCGGTCAGGATAAACCTTACAATTAAACATGTACTGTGTTACACGGGACAGCTGCCATGTGTGGTTTAAGTAGCAAATGAACCAAAACCTCGGAAAGCACTCCCACTGGAATAGCCTACATGTGAAACCTTGTTTACCTTGAAAGTGAAACCGCAAATTAATTTGTTGAACGAGTCATTTGGTGATTAAACTGTGGTCATTTCACTGTTGCGATGATGATGGCGGCAGCAGCAGCAGCAGTTGCTCGCTGTGCTCCGGTGAATTCGAGCTACACACGTGTTCGATACATAGAGTCGTGCTATCGGGTGTTATAGGATAATGCTACGTATTTTAAAGACAATCATGCAATTATCTTGAATGTTATATATTTGTGACCTTGCTCCCAACGCGTCGGTTTATTTAAGGCAGCTGACAACGACTGCTGGGGTTGGGTTCTTATAGCCTGCGGTGGGTAACGTTTGAGGCGCGATGTCCGTTGACGTCTTCCTATAAAATGGTTCGTTAGAAAAAAAAAATTAGAACGAACAACATTGGTGAGGCCCTCCCAGAAGGGCAGGCAATGACATGAGCTGAGCATAAAATGAGCAAATATGGAAAATCCACGATCCGGAAGAATACATTACAACTCACAAGATTTGTGGATGTCACTGCACCAAACAGCTGTGACATCGTTACCGTGTACAGGGAACACCATGGGCCCAGAGGTCAAACAGTATTACAATACATCATCGATAGACAATGCATACACTGCGTTATTTATCAAGAAAACGCAATATATACGTACATCGCACTATCCTGCTTTGCTATATTATCGCTCAGCAGGTTTGCCGAGACGTAATTTGTTCACGATACAATACAAAAAAATCTTACTTCGTGAGCTAAAAATGATCGCGATGTCATATTGACCTTAACTGTGTAATTTTATTTCACTGTGTGTGTGTGTGTTCTGATATACTTCAAATGTGAGTAAGCATTGCTTGACAGTTCTTCAACTGCAATCCACTCAACGTAAGTCTGCCACGAGTCCTTCTCATCATTGTAACCGTCAGCCTTTGATGTTCATAATACCCTTTGGCGAGGCGGTGGTGGCTACACATGTCAGTAATCCAGCGCCCTTGAGGCAGCGGGGTCGGTGGACTGCACAAAGTGTCATGGAACTCACTTCTCGTGGACATTGAGATGTCATATCCTGGCTCACCAGGAGAAGGCAGTACAGCAATATGGACTCCACCCGTTCCATCTGTATGGCATATTGTCCCCTCGCACGCGTGGGTTTCCTCCGAGTGCTCCATTCTCTTCCCGCGAAGTAAACAACGCAATAGTTGGCCGATGACACCTTCATATATAGAGGACCGCGGGGCTCGGGGGAGAATTTGCCGCTGGCCCACCGCGTGGCTGCCTTACCGCTCCCTCTTTGCTTGCGCCTCTGAATCGTTGTCTCTTCGAGAGTGAGTGAATGCTGTGCAACGCATTGCACGTTGAAATCATCATTATGAATAATGATAACGTAAATGCTGTCAGAAACTGACGGTGGTATCGAATCGTTACGCCGTCAATCACTCTGTGAGACGTTTTACAAAGCACTCATTTAATCAGTAATAGCCATTGTTTTTATAACATTTAGTTATTATTGTGAATGCACATTATTTTTCTAAATACTTTTGTGAGGAAGTTTAATATTTGGGAGAAGATTTAATGAGTCCAGATAATCACGAAATGGCGGAATTTTGCCAAACGGTCGGTACGGACAGCACGATCATCGTGGAACTTCTACGATATGTCGTCCTGTCGGCTGTTTTGGCAACCCTAGCACTCAGGAGTCGGACCATCTCAGCCAATGTCGCATCACAACTGTTGCACAGTTGACACCAAAACCATCCGAGATCAGCTTTTTGCAGTTCTCTCACCATCTAGCTGGAAACAGAGTAAAAGTAATTTCCTGCTCAAGTGAGCAATGGGCCAGTTCTCATCCCTCATTTACAACCCTGAGCCAGTGGTAGACATTCCACATTCCTATGGCGGGGGCGAGCCTAGCAATGCGATGACTGCTGTTGACCTCCCAACAAACAATTTTATCTACCCCCAAGGGGTGATAGACTGAAAGCTTTAGGCCTTCCAAGTGGTCAAATACGTCAAGGCGTCACTCCAATGCTTTTGTCTTTGAACTGCCTTCCACCAACCTGCCTCACCAAACATATCCTCCTATTCCTGAATAAGTATAACCTTGTTATCCGACAACATTCTATTACAACAGGTTGCATACCCCATCCTGCCATAATATTCTCTCACATCCTCCAACAGAGTGATAGTAGGATACGTATTTTCTGCTTACTCTTAGTAAGTAATGAAGCATAGTTTCTTGATGCTATATGTAATATTGTTTGACCTCTGACTCATGGCGTTCCCTACACACGCTAACGATATCACAGCTGTTTGACGCAGTGACGTCTTTTGAGTTGAGAATTATCCTTCCTTATGGTGAATATTCCCATCTGTCCATATGCTGTAGGTGTCATTGCCTGCCATCTGGCAGGGCCTCTGCTATGTTGTCCGTTCATTCCATTCGTAATTTATTTATGAGACACCTATTTATAGAGAATCCATCAATACGGTTCCCACCTCACACAATACACAGAGCAAGAAACAAGAACCACACGTAACACTCATTGACACTTACCATAAATAAACCAATGTGTTTGAAATAAAACCACTAAAATATTGCATTGCGGTAAACGATGATGTAATTATATTGTCGTTAGCCACACAAAATCCGAAAATACTTTTATAATTGTGCAAGGCAATCCAGGTAAAACATTTAGTTTACTGTTGCTGTACCATTCATCATTACTGCATCTCGAATGATTAACGTTCAATTAGCAAATGTCTTGCTAAAAATGTTAATTTTCGCATTGATGGGCAGAAAACTGTCCTTTCTAGCGGGAGTATGATCCGAGTCTTTGGTCCATTGCTATAGAGTAACATCCTTCATCGGAAGTTAAAATCCTGGTTGGGATTTGAGGAGAGACTCATTCCAGCCATAGGAATGTGTAATTCCGCCCAGAGCCTGATTAAGGTTATGAGGGGCTTAAAGCTAATAGGAGGGAAAAGCATAATAAGTATGTCTTAAATATTGCAAAAAAAGGAATGAAGTCATCAAATATATTTTTTTACCTATGTAAAATTAACAATTGTATTTCATTCAAGGTAAATTCATCAAACACAAATCACTCACTTCACAGAAATGTTTTTTTTCCTAGCTTCAGCTGTGGCAGAGTCATGAATGCTGTCATTGTAATTCGATGACGAAAAATGTCCAATGGCCGCGCTACCATCGCTCAGCTGTTACTTCAACATGAAATGGAGGGCCTACAAAGGAGGGCCTACAACATATGAGGGCCTAAGGCCTTATTAGTCTAAGGGTTAATCCGGCCCTGATTCCACCACTGGCTCAGGGCCGTAAGCAGGATATGAGCTCCAATGCCTCAATGCTTATTTGAGCAGATCGTCACATTGCCTCTCGATTCATCTTTACCGATGATTGAGCGATGACAGTGTCACCCGGTCCACGGGGTGGAGATGTCACATTAATTGGGTGAAAACTTGACACATAGCAGATGTTACTGAGAGTTCATCATCAGAAAAAGCGGGGGAGCATCGTCTCTGATCAATGCTGTTGTGCTGAGGCGCTACTCCCTTGCAAGATTCTTCTCAAGAGAAATAAAATGAGGGAAGGCGCTAAAGTCAATGACCAGAAGTTATTTTATCGTTGCTCTGTTAAATTCCACCTTTGACCCATACAGCAACACAGACATTATTGTAATGGGTTATTGTGTCAAATACCCATTTATTAACACTAATGTTGATACAATTACTCTTTAAAACTGGTTTATGTAACCCCCTACTATTATGAGACCTCCTTTGCCAGAAACAAGATATAGGAATAGGTTTTACCCTTTTAAACTGGCACAAAAACTGACACCTTTATTCAAGGCATCATGTTTGCAATGACCACAACACAAGCAGTCAAAATGCAAACAAAAAAGACAACTCTGATAATAATATGCACTGTCCTTGAATTTGATTGGTCCACACCCGAGACAGCTTTTCTTAGAGCCTAGTCTCCATTGGTGTTGGACCAGAAGACGCCTTTTGGCGTCTTAGAGCCTAGTCTCCATTGGTGTTGGACCAGAAGACGCCTTTTGGCGTTGGACCAGAAGACGCC